AAAAAAAAAAAAAAAATTAAGTGAATTTGCCTTTACGACTTAACGATTACACAAAACTCTTTAATTTTTTCCTGAATCGTAAAAAAGAGTGAAACAATCTAGTTAATAGGCAGCGATATAAAATTCAGGCAAATAATAATTCTCCCTTTGAAAATACTATCCTTTTAATAACTTGTCGTTTTTTTTTTCCTATTAATGACTGTTGTTACGTAGGCGCAACCCCGCAAAAAGAAGATGTCAGCTTACCAGACGGTCGACCTTTAATCTTCGCGTGTGTGGCACAGACCTTTTGCTTCGTGCGTGCGGTAAAGCCTTGTGTACGAAATGATACTCCGTCCTGCTGCCCAGAACCTTTAACAGAAGACAGATTTCTTTTCAAACGAAAGAAATATTTCTTTCCCCTTCTTCATAATTTTGTTAGACCTTGTTTCAACTGCGCAACGCGAAATTTAATTTTTCAAGCGAATAAAATAAAAGCTCTTTTAATACACTAGAATATGAGCTAGTAAAAGCCAAGCGCAGTTGACGATGCGAAACTGAGAATTTTAAGCAAATTACATTGTATAATATTATTTAACGCTCGGACATTTGAAGTGGGCGACAGTTGAACAGGGGTGTCAAGACCACACATCAAATAGTTTAGATCCTTCGAGAAAAGTATGTTCGAACAATTTGAGTTATTCGAACTAACTTTAGGTCCAAAAGTTCGAACATTAACATTTGCGTGAGGTCGGGTAAAAACAAAAAGCTGCTCATTTTCTGTTTACAATAAATTCTATTTTTGTTCCAATTTTTTTAAATATCAAAATTGTTCGAATCTTCAGACAACAAATTGGCATTACATTGTCGATTATTGCTTACGTTCAAACTGTCCGAATTTGAAGCTTATTTTTTGTCGCTTTGAACGTATAATATGTTGGAATCTTTTGTTTGAGCTCTAAGATTAACATTAATTGGTTTATCAGTGAATAATAAATTCGGAAATAAAAATATAAAAATAAGGAAAAATGTTTATCTAAATTTGAATTATATAATTTAATTTTCCGCAAACTGCATCAATTACGTTCAACTGCGCGGTTTCTTATTAGCTTATGTAATATCCGATTGAAAAAGATTTTATCTGAACTTGTTTTTAAGTATAAAAGTGATATTTTATAGATATTACTTTCAAGAGTTTTATGTCTTATTATTATGTAGCTGCGAGTCCTTCAGCAGGATATAAAAGTAGAAATTTATATTAAATATATAAATGTAATTTTCCTCTTTTCTCTTTTCATTCTTTTTTCTCAAGGGGGATATCTTTAATCTACGAAGGTACGAAACCAAACCGTAAGAATGATGAAAAATACGCACGATAAAAAGAATGAAGTAAACTCAATATACCGGAAGGAAGAGAAAAAGCGGATGAGATCTGGGAGAGCGGAAATTCTATCAATAATATAGCTTAGGAATGTCGTACAACCGACGGTATCTTTAATCTGATTTCTCGATACGCCTACACATCAGTAAATAGAGAACGTTATTGAGATAAAGCAATTAGTTCTTTAGGTCGCAAAATAATGAGGATTGTCTCAACATGAGAATTGTTTACATAAAAGCCGATCAATCCTCGTTGCGGCTCACCGCTGATAACCGTGATGATTGATGCGAAAGAAAAATGGGGAAAAAAGTTTCCAACTATTCCTCTTCCCTCGAACACGAGACTTTTTCATCGTTTTTTCTTTTTTACAAATATCCGAACATGTATATTTATCGCTGACCATATTTCTTTTCGTACGTCTGCGAGATTAACGTTCGTTTGCAATATAATTTTCGAAATACGAGAAAACGATCAATCTGATAACGACAGGAAGATCTCTCGGTCAATTGCATCAGCTGCTACTTAAGCTTATCCACGATAAAATCAGTCGCTGCCAAGTATGGCAAAATTAATCGCATCGCAGTGGAAGCGATCGATCGCGCCGATAATTCAGCCTCCATGTCCCATGACGGTTAAACGTACGAGACAGCCGGGAAACAGTTTTAATCGGAAGAAACTACGTCACTACGCCGGTAAATAGAGCTTACAGGATATCAATTTTCTCTGTATTGGCGAAGCTGCATCAATAACGGTTCTCTAATATAGTACGATTCGTTATTTAGTGGTGAAATTGTGTAAAGCGAGTGATTCTATATAAAAAAAGCTGGAAATAGAGAATTTATTTTCATACAAAATTGTATTTTAAAGAAAATCGGACTTGTAAATTGAAAAATTAGTGGTATTTTGTTTTTATTTTAAATTTTTTACAACTCTCAATAAATATTTGTATTTTTAATGAAATTGTGCAATATAGAATCTGTTTCATACTGCGGTTATTGCAATATAAATGAACATATGAAAATAAAGATTAAATAATCTTGTTGTTATTTTGTAAATTTTTTTACTTCAATTACGTTTCATTATTTTTTATAATGAGATATTTTTATTCACACTTTAACAGTCGTTGTTTAAATATCTAGAACGATTTTTGTATAGAAAAATAGTCAAAATAATTCTTTAAAAATGGTAAAATTACTATTTTTGTGATTTTCGGAATCGGTTTTCTTTAAAACAAAATCTTACATATAAAAAGACTTTTAATCGCACTTATTCAAATTTCTTCATGCAAAACTGCCATCTTCTCGATAGTAACATGAATAACAAATTAGTGTGCATATTTGCATCGAGTTTCTTGTGTGCTGCGATTTTTCAAACCACTCTCTCCATTTTCTCGAGTATTGATCCCGCAGTAACACCTTACACCTCGTTTCGATGCAGACTAGACTATGTTAATTTAATCAAACTTAGCTAATAGGAGTATGTTTTAACTAAACCTGATTTATGCTACTTCTCAAATTAGCAGGATTCAAATTTTGACTTTTTAATTTATCAATTATGAATAATTTTAGTTAAATCACAATAACTTTTTTTTCTTCATTTTTATATTAACACAATTTTTGTATAATATACATGAAAATCGGAGGAATTGTTAAATTAAAAAAATTTTCAAAGTTTCTGTTGCAATTAAAAGAATATATCCAAAAATATGTAGTATCTGACATTTCAATAATCTTGAAATCTTGGAAATAATTTGAGTTGAATTTTCTTTCTTCATTTTATTTTAATTACGAGGGTAAATTAAACATTGTCTGCAATATTCAAGTAAAACGTAATTCAGATATTGCGGATAATTACTTACTCTAATACCTTTGCAAATTATACATGTATAACTTTATCGTGAATATAATTTCCATATTTTTAAAATATCCAAGTAGATATCTCGATAGAAATATCTAGGTATATTCTTTTAGATCTTTTATTTTTTATAAATGTCACGTTTACAATAAACTTGAATTTTAAATAGGTTTAATGGATCTTCTTAATAAATATTGAAATTATGCCTAATTATATGAAAACATTAAATGCCAAAAAAATTTAATTTATATTAGAAAGGATAATTAAAATTGTACAATTGTTTACACGCGCGTTAGGGCTAACTTAGCGAAACAATATTAGAAAAGTTTAGAAATGTATTACAAAAAGTTTTTATCGTAAAAAGAATATCACAGTCTTTGTGAAAAAAATTTCTACTCGGCAATTTGTAAAGGCAACTTGTGCACGAAGTTGGAATTCTCCACAAACAATGTTAACTCAGAGAAATGCCTTTTGACCGCTCTTGCATTTCTCTTGGCGACTATTAACAAACTTTTCAAGTTGGATTCGCAACTTGGATTCTCTTCTCTGTGCTTCACGGAGTAGAGCTATCGATTCGACGTATCGACGGCGAATAAAAACAATGCAAATCATGAGGATAGTCCGTCTCGAGTTGCTCCGATTTATCTTTCGCATACAATAAAGCAAAATGGTCAAGAAAAATATTTATATTCGTTGTTTTTTTTATGCGTTTTTTCGCGAACGTGCCGTTTACAAGTCACGACACGATGTTTCCACATTCAGTAGAGTATGTCAAGCAGTGGGCAGACGTGGCGCTGAATCTGACGCGTGGCGCGTCGCCGTGCAGCATCATGCGTAGAACGCGAACAAAGCTCGAAATATTTTCCGATTCAATAATAACATGTGAAAAATACATTTTTTTATTTTTTAATACAGGTAAATTGTTTAGAAATAAATTGCAATCTATTCAACAAACTGTTAAGGAATGTACAAAATATACAGAAACACACAACTGCGATGTATATCGCTCACATTTATTATTTTTTTATTTGTCAGCCGAAGATGATGCTGTCATAAATGCCTGATGAATGTAAAAATTATATAAAGTTGCGATTATCATAAATAATACGTCGGATAAATTGCGTTACATTTTTCAACAAATAATAGTTTAGATTTCTGCAACTTTATATTAAAAAAAAAAAGCAGAGAATGAGCGAAAAAAAGAAGTAATAACTGTAATACCAATTAACGCAAAAATAAATGTTTCCTCAAGCAATATGCTAGGAAAAATAATTAAACCATAATGTTATTTATCTTTCTGTAAAGTAAATGAATGCGCTCGAGTCGGCGGTTTTAACGCTTCCAATACGATAAAAAAAACATTTATTTTACTTCATAGCCATTCATTAAAGGAAAAGTAATTAATCGGGTGAACCTGAGAGACGTTAATATTCGTCGTACTTAAAGTGCACAATATTATCCTTCACGTCATAATTCTTGCGAATCAAGAAATGTTGCTAGCGAATATTTTTTATCGTGATATTTAATAAATTTAACAGTGTATAACGGAGCATCTATTATTATCCGATGACAGGACAAAGTTCACAGACACAGGATACGGACTGAATAAGGGCTATTTGGACCGGAAAGAGTAGCATATCATCTCGCGCAAGTTAAACGCGATACTGAACACACCATACGTGAGAAAGTAATATCGATAAGAAGTTGCTGGTCGGCGCGATCCGATCGTTACGCGTTCGTCGTGGAACTTACATTCACCTCTGGACTTCTTTTGTCCGCGCCTTGAACAGCAGAATTAATTCATCGATAATGAGTTAAAATAAGAAAACCTTCGTCTCTTTCGAATAAATTATATTTTCAGCTCAGAATGGAAGAAGCATATAATCCAGGTATATAATTCAAATATATAATATATAATATAAAGAGAGAAAATATATTGCTGAGGTCTGCGAAGAATTATTTTATGATGAAATGGCTAATCGCTTTCATCGTGGAATATTCTTCATTTTTTCCCCAACAATCATCCCCGAATGAATTGGCTATTTCCGAAGGAGTTCGGAGCGGAATTCGCCACTTACCGGTCCGAGATTGACGAAGCCGTTTTTCAGCGCTACTTGATCGGCTACATGCCTCTCTGTTGGCTGCCGCATTTTCACCAAGAACGAATTGGTGAAGACCTCGGCGGTCGTCGTGCCGGCGAGGAGGAAGAGCGCAATCACCGCGAGTAGTAACATCGTGACGAAACGCGGCCGGCGAGGTACGTCCAGGTCGTACTTCGCATTCGCGGATTCGGGGACACTGGACACTCGAGATACTCGGCTACGAAGTACGCGACGGTACTATGATCTCCGTGGTGGCGGCGGTGGTGGCGACGGTGGTGGTGACGGTGGTGGCGGCGGCGTCAGCGGCGACGACGGCGTCGATTGACGGTGGCGGAGACGGCGGTCGACTCACGTACGGCGCGGATCGAAAAAAGACGAGATTCTCCCCTTCCTCGACGGCGACGGGATGCCGATGGACGCGCAAGTTAAATGTTACAATGCGACAAAACTGCTCGATATCAAGAGGAAAAAGGTGTAACACAGGTGTTCGTCATGAGCCACCGAATCCATATTCACAATATCGCGAGATACCCTTCGACTGCCCAGATACCGACGCTATTACGTAAAAGATAAAAAAAAGAAGGATTAAAGGAATAATGTTTAACACGTGAACGCGCAAACGCCGAATTTTATCGGGAAAAATATGGGAGCTAGACGCTTATCTGTTGAAAAATTTTATTACTTCGAATATTGTTTCGAATTGCGTATTATTCGAACGAGGAGCGAAGCGAGATCGCGAGAATGAATTACGATGCAGCTACCGAAAGAAAAGATAATTTACGAAAGAAGAGATTACGTAGCCGCGCCGCGTGGAACAATGAGGCGGACAGGTGATAACCTTTTGCGTGACGTCATTCGATATATTGATTGGAACAGCGTCGCGTCGTTCGCGTCCAACATGGGAAATTTGGCGATCGCGCGTGCGCCAATTCATCTCGTTTCTCAAGGATAATCGTCGACGTAAAATATATAGAACCGACAATTTAATAGCTTATAAAAAGGAAAACGACATCGATGCAATTAAGTGATATAAATGCGCGGAAAACAAATTCTTCGATTTCACATTGCTTCGTCTGTAACATTCGCATTTTTGGGGAGGGAAGGGAATAATATACACAGTTACAACTTTAAAAAATAATTTGTTATATTACAACATTTATCTTAGAAATTGGAGAAGATTATATTACAAGGAACTTCTAATTTTCATGAATTTTTAAAAATATTTACGTCTTCTTATGTGCAAAATATATCGCATTACATTTTACGTTTTATCTTATAAATACGCCCTGAATTCATTGATACAAACAAGTTGCTTATAAGATTGTGTATAATGTCGCAATACATATCGCAATTTGTCTGAATAAGTCAATTATTAAAATTAAAGACAACAAGCAAACAATATTCACATATATAGTTAGAAACTCTTCTCTTTTACGCAGGAAAAAAAATAGAGGAAAAATATGAAACCTAAGAAAATCTTATGATATCTATGCCACAAAAATTTTTAGAAAATATTAAATCTTAATTAAATTTCGCAATCTAGAAGTAGCATAAAGTTACATATTACCGTCAAAATGGCGCACGTATCTGAAAATACAGTCTTTCTATGTTCTGAACTATATATATGTATATGGTGAATTATGCAATCAAATTTCTCTAAAGTTGACCAATCTTTATTGTAAAATCCTCGCAATGTGAAAATTTGTTTGCTACTATACATTTGCCACGTCATCATATTTCGCTCGCTTTCTCAGTTTAACTTGATTCTACGCAATATGTAGACATGTGCCATTAAAATAAGAGGAACTAAAAAGACTATAATAAAAGATTTACATTCCGATAAACTAACTTCAGAGAAAGATTCGATTATACATTTTTTACTTTTATCCCATAATTTATATACGTAACTTTCGCTTGATAATATCTAAAGTGCCAAAAAATCCGACAAATTCGATAAAATAAATTTATTTATATCGCAATTTCGATATATTATAAAATTATACAGTAAAATTTATTATCAGTGGTACATAAATCGAGAAGACAACAGTTACAAAGTAAAAAAACTTATATTCTGTTAAAAAAACAAATTAAAGTTTCGAAACAACTGATCTTTTTTTATTTTTATAAACAGAATATTTTATTTTTATATATTCACATTTGTTTTATAACATAAACTTTTAACTGCTAATTATCAATTATTTGTCACAGTTCAGTGATGCTCAGACAAAATTTATCTAATCGCATAATCATCCCCGAAAAAAAAGCTTAGGCTTTCAAAGACCAATTATATTCTTGAGTATATGAGTCTTAAATGTTTTACAAATAGATCATATACTATGATAAACTTATAATTACAAATATATTTTACAACTTTTTTAAAACCATTTCGTACAATTCAACAATGATGACGAAGCAAAGATAACAGTGACGATTACAAAAATGACACTTTTATCAGCGGAATGAGTCACGATATGATACAGCATTATAATTAAGAAAATTACTTTTTCAATAATAATGATCCCAGTAATAAATAAAACAGATAAGACTTTCACCTATTAATATTATTCGCGACATTCATGGATTGCAGTTTTCTTTTCATCTGAAGTTTCATTAGAGCCTGCTGTCTCTTTTTTTCGATTTCCTCCGCGGTACACCGAGCCGGCTGCGAACCAGTTTTTGTCGTTTCTTTCGTATCGGTTTTTATGTTACCAGTAGAGTAATGCTTAACAAAGCGATCACCACCTTCTTTTACGGCGCACCTGTTAACATTAGATCCATGCGTGCGATCCGCGCTGCGCATTAACGAAATTGCACTACCCTCTACTTTACGGTCAGTCGTAACAATCGAATTTCTACTTACGGACGTATGCGCGTTCTGGGCAAAATATTGATCCGATAAACTTTTAGTTTTAAAAAACTTTCTATTCTCGAAAATAGAACTCGGTGGTTCGACTTTCACTGTAGATTTAAGAAAGTTAGTGGGCTTGACTTCCGATTTTAGTGACGCATGGGTTAAGCGTTTGTAACTAGTTTCAAATTTTGTGCTATCAGATTTACGAGTTGTGAAATCGTTAAATAATAATTTCTCATCCTCGACGCAGGTCGCTAAACAATCATCAAAAGAATCATCTGGAAAATCAAACACTTCTGTGCTATAATGTTTGGACAATTTCTTATTATCACAGGATTTAATAAGAGAATTTATCATATTGTTATTATTATTTAGATGCGATTTATCCGCGATTTGTCGACTCTTATCTCTTTGCGCTGCAGTATGTATGCTGGAGTTTGCGTCTTTTTTCATCGGCAATCTTGAGTATGTCTTTATTGTATTACTATGGTTTGTACCTTTATGAAGAATGATTTTGGTTGGTGATTCTTTGAAGTTTTCATTAAAAACAAGCTCTACAGAAGTTTTAACAGTCGCTTCGTTTACACAAGGTGATTCTTTTTTCTCGACATTAGCCTGTGTGAAGTTTTCTTTCTCTGCAATCAAGTTGAATTTTTCTTCCATCTCTTGAGTGCATTTAATCATAGATTCGTCAACTGAATCATCAAATAAATCATCGTAGTTTCCACTTACATTGTTTCTCAGAATATTGCCATCATTATTAGTTTCTCCGATGCAATTCTGTTCATTATTTGTAACTCTTGACACTTCTTGCTCATTGCTTGTGTTTACTAAGATTGATGCTTCTTCTTCTTCTTGAACATGATCATCTGAATGACTCTTATCATTTTGTTTGATAAATCTCACTTTTTCATTTAAAGCCTGTAACTCAGCTGCAAACTGTCCAATATTCTCTATGTTTTTCATTTTGATGATCTTTCTCTTGAATGGCTTGTATAATAAAGGCGAGTTTGAATTTCTTTTTCGTTGCAACAATTTAGTTCCTTTAGGTGTATCACAACAAGCATTTTGTTTCTTACTTCTGTCCTCAGGAGTTTTACTTACAGAACTTTGCCAATCCCATGCAACTTCATTACCACCTTCTTGTGTAAATGGAAGTAATGTTGGGCTTGGATAATAATTAAGCATCGGAGAGTCTTCCGTATTGTTTGCACATTGCTTTTTTATAACTGGTGTATCATAACCTGAAACCGGATACTCTTGAAAACTTTGAGGAGAATCATCATTCTTCTTCATTATCTTGTCACTTGTTGTTATTGTCACATTTTCATCTATATAAATCATATATTTTTTTTTATTAACAATGTAAAAAGAGAATACTTAATGTAATGAAACAAATTATACCTACCTCTCTTTATAGTCAAACGCGAATTTTTATTATTTGGAATTTTTACACATTTCATAGTAACCCTTTCCAAATTATAGGTTTCAAATTCTTTAAAAATGAAAATTTATTCAGTATTAGGCCATCAATCTTATGCAATTGACAACAAGCTTGACAAAACTGTCAAACTTCTTTGAAAAAAGTTTCTTCAATTTTAATGAGTATTAATTTGATACCATTCAAATTATTTCAAATTAATATTTAATCAATATCACTATTTTTTCCAAATAAAAATAAACGTGTGCTATTATGAAAAAACTCAATTTTTGGCACCTACATTTTATTGTATCAGGTTACGAAAGGTGCGTTCAGAAACTATACTCTGGGTAAGTCTTTGTCTATGTCTGTCTATAGTATACGTTACGTGTAATATAGACAATAGACAAAGATTTTCATCCAGAATGTGGTTTCTGAACGCACTTAAACATGAGGCGCCTTTTTAGCAGTCTGTGCAGTCCTGCTAGCTATGAGGTTGGTGAGACTAAAAAATTACTAGAAACTTATCAACACAAAACTAGAGAGAGGAATAAACGTAAATTTTGATAAACTTTTGTAACTGCAGTGCGTAATACATGTGCGTAAAAAACTGATCAATTATGTATGTTTTCCAGCAAAGGACACAAGTTGACACAAATCGACACAAGTATCACCCTGTCTTTGTTCGATATTCAATGAGCAACAGAGAGAATAATATTTTTGTGTCGCTTGTGTCTCTTGGTGGAAAACTACCAAACTGTCTAATAGCGTTTTCGATTATACAGGATTTGAACGACCCAAGATTGGTTAATGACGTCATTGCAACCTCTCCACCAATGAAAGACTTGCATTTATAGTAAAATAGTGATTGATCAACCCTAGATCGTTCAAACCCCGTTTATTCGAAAACGCTATAAAATAAATTTACATTAAACATGTAATGGGTCGATCTTCTTATGCACTATACAGTTTAGTTATATAAATATATCTTAAGAGTTGGTAACTCTGAATCTAGTGCCTCTAGTGATGGCCGATGTAACGATGTAAAGCTTTTATAGATGTTATTGCTAGATGACGTTCTATAGTGCTCAAAAATATCATAGCTACAGACTCTCCTTCGAATCCAAGGAAAAACATTTTTCTAACTTGTTGAATTACTTCACTGAAAAGTACATAATATAATTTAAATTAGACAGATTTTTTTTAAACGCGCCGTAGGTAAATACTTTTTAATCATCTATTTAATTATTTTTTAATTTGCGAATATATACAGACTAGTTGCTGTGAGTTATTGCACTTGTCTCAACCAACCTAATTTGCGATATATATCACATAAATTTCCATGCTACAGTATACTATATATATTACTTCTGTACATTTTGACTTGTTTTTTTCTATTTGTTAAAAAACTTGGCTTCAACACTACTTTCTTGTAAAGTTTCACATATATACTTCACAAATTAAAAGTGTATTTAATATTTTATCATATAATATTGTTAATCAATATAATTAATTAGGTATAAACTTATATAATTATATTTATATCTTATAGACTTATATTAATTAATATTCTTGTTTTAGGATATGGCGTCAACGAGAGTATTAAATCATATTCTCCAGAGAAGACACTTGATCATGTCAAATACATTGTATTGTCATAGCATTGTCTTTAACATTAAACACAATGCTTGGTATTCGACAAAGAAATCTATATCTAAAGTTGATTCCAATGAAACCGACAATAAAATACAGATTGGCACTGCAGAAGTAGGTAAATTTTACATGACCTATATTACATATTATTATTATACAGTGACTTGTTTCTATTTTTCTTCTTTACAGTCAAAGAAAACTTGAAATCTGCTGGATACTTGGGGGTAATTATAGGTGGCATTGGAATCACAGCTTTTATATTCTATGCACTATTTTCCGAGCTATTTTCTAGCAAAAGTCCATATGCTGTCTATAGTAAAGCACGGCTCCGTTGTATTGAACATCCAAAAGTTATAGATATTCTCGGAGCACCTGTAAAGGCTTATGGAGACGAAACTCGACGTGGTCGTAGGAGACACATTAGGTATATTGAAGTAATATACTTCTTTGAAATTTATATGCAATTTATTAATAGCTTTTGTATATATGAGTCCTGTCGCATAGGACTAATAAATATGTATTATTTACAATAGAGAATACTTGAATTATTTTTTAGAATATATAAATAATGTTTCTATGTATTTGTTTTTTTCAGTCACATGTACTACATTAAGCAAGGCATTAAATATATGAAAATCAAGTTTTATGTAGAAGGAACCAGAAGACGTGGTACGGTATATGCGGAAGTAAAGGAAGTAAGTATATCAGTACGATTTGTAAAAATGGCATTGATATATATATAATATATATATATATATATAATCCAATTTGAATTACAGAATGAATCTGGCAATTATGAATACACATACTTGTATGTTACGGTGAATCATGTTGGAACGATTGTAATAGAAGAACCACAAGGATAATATTAAAATCCAACAAGATGAAGAGTTATTAAATACTATTTAGTTTAATATATAATAATTGATAATTGTATACGTATTTGTATATTGTGTAAATACCTAGCATTTTGTGAATCGATATATATGATTTTAATACATACGATTTTTTTCTATTAGTTTATGCAATTTTCTTTGTTGATAAAAAGTGATAGAAGGTTGCTAAACGTCAATTAATTGTTATTTCTTAAGCAAAGAATCAAGATTAATTAATGTTTGTCCATTGATGAAGCAGCATTAATATTAGGAATTTCTAATATCAATTTTTTAAAATTTTGTTTTTATAATTATAGAATTCCTATTATATAAAGTTTCGTTTATGCCCACAAGATATGCCCCAAAGATATTTATTTGGAACTTGCATCATTTTGCATTTCGCATCTAAGTTGGCTAAAGGATAAGAGAGAAACCGCCGCGGCACTACGGAAACGGAACTCTTACGAAATTCGAAAAACAAATTCCTACATTGTGTAGATATTACGTGGGCGCTAAAAATATACATTCTTCTCGCGTGCTATCGTTTACTCGTGCCGCTGTGTCTATATATATATGCGCCTTGTACATATGCGCTTTATCAAAGCGCCAATAATTGCTGACTAATATACTTTGCATAATAAGTCATTTTGCCCTTTTTTCATATATATATATTTTTTATCATTTTAATTACATCATTATGCATGCAATATTGTATACATAAAATCATTTGAAAAAATTTTACTTTTATAAATCAATCAATTGATGTTTATGTCTCATAAACAGTAATTAAAATATAAAAAATAAAATCAGTCAGAATTATGCAATCGAGTTTATTAAGGAACGCAGCATCCACTGCAGTAATCAGAAAGGCGTGTCGCGTGGTTGCATAAGGGTGCATACGATGCCCACGTTAGCGCATTCGCATATCATTACTTCAGCAGTCTCTCCTAAAAGTTCGCCGAAGGTTGGCGGGAGATATCGTTTGCTTCACTGCCAATGGCAGCTGATTCTCGCTGACAGTCGCTCGACAGTCGGCATGAAGATCGACACGTTGCTCTAATCACTTTACACTCAAGATGTACATAGTGTGATGTGACATCACTTAAAACTATTTATAAAAGAAAAATCCTTCGGATTGTTTCACAGGTATGAAACTATCAATTATTTATTTCAAAGCAATTTCGTCACCTTAAAAAAATATTATAACTATGAAGAACAATGAGAAAATCCTTTATATTTATAAGTGCTTAAAAAATCTACGATTGTTCAACAATTGTAAAAAATTTTATATACTTATTTTTGTGATAATATTAAAAGAAAAAGAATATATATATATAATTTGCCATGATTTTTAAATTTATTTAAATTTATTGAACTTATTTATTTAAAGGATTTGAAAACATTTTAGAGTGCATGATAAAATTATCTTGAGTTTATGAACTTTTCACTTTTTCACACAATTTTGTGTGTATATTAAATTGATTAAACGCATACATTTATGAACACTAGTCTATGTCTTGTTTTGTACGATTGCTGTTCTTAGAATTAATTACTGATTAAGATTCACGTCCAGTTATTCGGATCAAAGAACGTTTTATTACACTCGATATCGATTTTTATGTATGTTCAACTTTAGAGTTTTAGAAGTTCGCTATTTTTCAAATTATTCACATAATATTATATAAGATAAAAATATTACTAAATTTCGGAAAAATTATTGCAAAAAATATAGACTTAAAAAATGATGAATTAAAAATAATAAATATGTTATCAGGCATGCCATGGATGTGTGATCGAGACGTGTGACATTAAAGATTTTTATTGTCTCTGCTTCTGCTGTTAATAATGTTAAAAAAGTGTTGCTCCTGTTCATGTCTCTCCGGATTTAGAGCCGTTTACAGACCGCAACAAATCGGTTTTACACACAAGCCACGACCACCTACTACAACTGATCTCGGTAAGTTAATTCTGTGTGTTTAATTACTAATCGAATGCTAACAATTAAAATAAAAATAAGACAATATAATTTAAAAAAAAAAATTAAATAAAATACAATGTATAACATAAAGTATTTGTGTACTAGTCTTGTAATGATTTAAATAAGTGAAGGAATTCTAATTATAATATTATTATTAATGTTGATTGCGAGTTTAAGAAAAAAGTAACTTTTCAAATAAATTACGTTTTTTAATGCTTTCCCGAGGCAACCGCAGTTAAATATTCTTGCGAAATTACGATTATCGACCGAAAGTTTCAGTCATATTAAGAAAAGAGTTAAAACATTAAGAGAGAGATAAGAATCGTCTCACTTGCTTGTCATTTTGAATGCTGTTTGCGTGCTTACTATTAGACTCGATAAATTTTTATGGAATTTCAATCTTCGACCTTTCATCCCATATTATCGAGACATATGCATGACACATTGATATCGATGAGAAGTAATCATCCATCTATTATTCATGCAATGTTTTTAATTATAGAAAGCTGTAATTATTTGCCTGATTATTAATAGTCTTGTGTGTTTAACTTGTGAGAACCAGAATACGAAAGTGACCATTTTTCTTTGAATAAAATAAGATTTTTTATTTGCTACTGTTTCCGTGAAAATGCTAAAGTACTAATCGATAATCGTCCTCCTGCAATTTTTTCAACTACTTCCGATCACTTTTAAGGAGAGTATAAAGGTTTGAAATTTAAAAAAATCGATTTTTTGTTTTCTACATTTTCGGATTATTTTCATCTATTATGTTAATTTTCATCAAACTGTTTTTATTTTAGTTCAATCTATAAAAAAAAACACTTTACGAAGAAAATGGCGTTTGGTTTTTTCAAAAATTTTAAATGAATCAATAGTAATCTCTGCAAAACCAATATAGAGGGTGAAATAGGATACAGTTTTAAAATTTAATATTTTTTAATTTTCAAAACAGGACCATTGTGTAATTAGCTTCTAAAAAGATTTTTGTTTAAATTAAATATTCACTGTAACATCGAGTCAAAGTTTATCGAATTTTTTAACACAGTCAAAAGTCTTTTACACTCTTCTTAATGTAATTCCGTGCTACAAGTGATAAAGAACGGACATTGCCGTATATAATTGATGTAATCAATTGACTCCTTTGAAGATGGAGTTCACGTGTGGGCAAAAATCAATTAATAAAGTAGAAAGATAATAGGGCGTACGTTTGCTATTTGAATCATGAGCGCATAAAATGATATTCTATATTAAAATTTGTATTGCACGCCTAAAAGTAAATCGTGATTTAGGCACGTGTGAGACGCGTGTAGTGCAATGAAAAAGCATAACATGAACTAGAACTCTCGCTTTTCCTAAATTAACGGGACAATAAAGTTACAGTTTTAATATCTTCGATATGCCAAAATTTTGTAAACATAGGACTTTACTTAGACCAAGGATTTTATTTACTGATTGATACTGACTGTTAATTCAATATTGCTGGTACATTAATAGAATCGCATAAATCGAAACATAAACGAGGTTTGGAATTGGTTGTTTTAACACGTGCAGTAGTAAAGAGTTAAATAACCGAGTCACACAATATCAGTCTCAAAATTCCACGGTTAGTAAACACTTAAGTATTTTTTCTTAGTAGATCGTAAATATATTTTTGGAATATTGGTCAAGGATGAATTGCGCTCTTAAGTTTCAAATATGGTACGTACACGTACATACACATATTTAATTATCGATTTTTGATATAAAAAATAATAAAAAGCAGCGGACAGCTAATGAATCTCATTAAATAAATGATATCATCGTCAGCACTCAAAAGAAAAAAAAAAATGTTGGCAATGATTAAATCATCATGATAGAGTCAAACAACGAAAACGATTGATGGAACGAGACAAATCAACATTATGTATAGGCGTGAGGAATCTTATATTTCACTTATGATTATCGTACGTTCGAATCAAATGTTATTAACTTGACGATGTATTCTATCATAAACGATATTAATTTTACATTAGCCAAAGAATGTGTCATAAAATAATGGAAGTCACACACTCTATCTAGTTTCGTTACCTAATTTTGCGAATTTTCTTTTACGCTGTATATATAAAATTACAAATCTCTCGAAATCTGTCGTGAATTATTCGTGTAAAGTAGACTTCAAAAATTAGTAAAAAAATGTCTTAACAAATATAAGAGAAAGTATCTTTTTAGAAGAGCTGTAGCCTCGCGTTTCAAACGGAGAGCTCTAATTATATTCCGAAAAGCGATCGAACGATTGTAAATAAACGTCCCGTCGATACAATGCGCAATTTTCTCATTCGAGAAACACGCTTTATTTATCGTTTCTGCGGTTAAGAAAATATACTCAAGTCAAGATGGAAAGTGTTTGCTTCCGTCTGTCTTGCGAGATGCCGGCCTTCGTTAAATACAGCGTCGTCGCGCAGATTATGTGCATTTAAATTGGTAGTATTATTCATTAGGCATAGATTACATCTGCATTTGTTCGTCACGCAGACCCCATTTATCACACTCGTCGCAAATATATACACACGAAGTCCGTTAACTCTTTAAGAGAATATGTATTATCATAAATCAGCTGTTGTGTTATAAAATTTTTATAATTCAGAATTTGATTTGCTAAGGTCAGATCTTGAACTTGATAGGTTTCTCTTACGCCGCGGGTCATTACATATGAATGAAAGTGAAATTACGCAAGCGACGCGGTGCTATGACCGCTAAATGGTGATGTCATCTTCGCGCTGACGTAAACTCGAGTTATTTAAATAGATTGGATCTATTTCGGCCAAGAATTAGGGAATTAAATCTTTCAGTGGGTCATTTGTGTTTCTCAAAAATCTAGATTGTTCATATAAAAAAGAAAAGATTAGAGTAAAAATTAAAGCATTTATAAAAGTTTCTTATTCATCATATTTATCGGGACAATCATATTCGTTATATTTATCGCATTAACATTCCATTAAGTGTTACACAAAGTACAATCACATAAAGTTCTTCGGAACTTTACTTCATAGTCTGATTTCGCCGGAAGATTAGTCACGAAAGCTTCACTGACTCGTGCTTTTGTGATTACCCATTCGAAACTTTTAATTACAGATTCTATTCATCAAGTCACGCTTTTTAAGATAACTTTTTCTCGTTGACTCATTCTCTGATGCATAAATAACGCGAGACACGTACGTAATTACATATTTTTCGCCGAATTTACATATAACGAATCTATGAGACTGAGCTATTCCGGCGAAAATAGCTTTTTAGATTTACATCTGTCTGCTTCTCAAGCACAGATTTATTATTGTGTGGGTGGTGGCGCTTCTAATGCACTGAGTTATAATTAAGATATTCCGATGCATATCTCCGAGAGCATCAACAAGTTGCTCGTGACTCGAACATTTTGCCTGCACACGCCGTGGGCGTGTAAAGTGCATTCCGGTAGGAATTCTAATTGCAACACTCGGAAATAAGTCGTCGCGTGTACGCATTCAGCGAAGAGCGCATCGTAAAAACTGTATTAAATGTCCTTCTAGTCTTAATTATTTGCGTTTTGCGTTTCGTGTGTAGAAGAGTAGCACTTTCCGCTATTTGCTGATATAATTAATACCGAGAATCAAGGAGTTAACAAAGAAGATAGACTTTCATACAATTTTTGATAAAAGAGGATCAATTTAGCATTGATCAAAAAATTCTAGATAAATAAAAAATGTTATGCAACACTGAAAATTAAATATCCATAACTCATAAGATTTTATGAATTTATTACTAAAAAATTGTTATAAATTGCTGAAAGAATCAATCATTTAAGAGCAAATGTAAATGACTTCAATTTGGAGCATCCTGTATAGTTGACCGAGTTCACGTCGTTATTTTTGCACGGGAATAATATTACGCATACGTCCGTGATACAAATCCCGTTACTGAGTCATTTCAACGCCATCATTTTCGAATTAAGATTGATGAAGTAAGCAGATTGAAGCAACAATAGATCACATTGTTTGCAGATTGAAACAAGCGATTCGTACACGGAGAAAATTTTATATAAAAAATTACTATGTACGGCAGTAACCGCGGACTATGAAGCCGCGGACCGAAAATTTTTACTATGTTTCACATGTGAAAAACATAGTAAAAATTTTTATAATTCCTTCATGGTCCACAGCTACTACCGTACAAAGTAATTTTGGATATAAAATTTTTTCCGTGTATGGTCACTTGTTTCGTTATTTAATTTATCTATTAAAATAGGTATAAATAAGTAATAGATAAGTAATAGAATTCACGTGGTATGATAATTTCTGTCGGCAAATCCGTCATTAATTACAGAGCAGTCATAAAATTTTGCTGAAGCAAACATAAAAAGAAGTTTGTGCAATATGACTTTAATTACCTGCCGCCATGTTTTTTTTGTAATTTAATTACACACACTGTGCAAAAAATACTAAATCTACACGTAATTTGTACGAGTTTGCATTGTTTCACAAAAAAATAAAAGAAAAAATTGCAGTCTCTATATAACGCATAGTTTATTTTGCGTATATGCTAAGTAACGATTTAAAGTTGATTTATGCAAATAGAAATGTATGCTGTAAATCAATTGCTTATGACGCAGTTTATCGGCGCGAGAAGGGGTATACGCGCAATCAGTAACAGATACTTTTTTAAATTGCACGTAATTATCTTAAATCGTCCAGACAAATATAGTACGCGCCTTGTCTTTCCGAAAATGGTTAAACTTGGTTCTTCGTTGACCTAAAATCCCAAGCCGACTGTTTCAATGGATTGAACTGTACGTGTCAATCAGAAATGGTAATAGCGAGTCGTTAATGGTGATAAAGTGATTTTTTTACACGTGCTCTGGAAACTAAATAAGCCCGAACAATTACATAGAAAGAAAAAAACAAATCGATAGACATTTATCTCTTGCAGAATCTTTTTATTTTATATAAAAATCATATAATGTAATTATTTAATAATTTCTCTGTTTTAAGCATTTTATCTATGCAAAATAGAACTTAATTATTTGTGTACAGCGGCGGTTCAATTATCCATGCATGAATCTTGCGTGATTACATTTGTATGTATATGCAATGCAGGGTAATGATCGATATTTTTTCCGATCATTAATTACCACCACGCCGGATTTTCCGATTTGAGAGATCTATTATTTTATGCAAATCTTGAAAACGGTGAACACAGTATTCCTTCTGATGAGTTTTAATGATTTCTTTGGCAATGAGCTAATGAACCAGATTTATGTTACTAAATTGTTTGCGTAGGTTCGCAATACGCGAATTACAGAGCGCCAATTATATTTTTGTAGGCGTAATTGATATTCATAGTCCCATTCGTCGATGATTTAAATAGACTCGCTTCAGTAATGAAATCAATCCTGGGTGTCAAGAATGACGATAACTGCGGTTCTTTAAGTGTATTATGAGACAATAGAGCTACACGTCATTGCAACTCTGACGTTAAATCTGATTTTTTTATCATGTTCTGTAGATTTTTGTTGTATTATTGTAAATTTATTTCAAATATATGCATTTATTAATTAAAATTATTTAATAATGATTATATATATATATGTTCTAACAGCAATTCCATTTCTTTTAAACGCTCTGATAACAGCAATTAAAATCTTCGATTTATTCAATAAAGTATTATTTGGCGTTGTTGCTGTATAAATTTTAATATTAAAGTATATAAAAATGCAAAAAATTTGATTAGTCTCAAAATTAAATTTTTATAGCTCTTATCGAAATGTTTTCCAATTAAATATGTTACGAAGTTCAAGGAAAGGAAGTTTTTCGTCGAAAATTGCAATAACTCGGCCGCGATTGTATGTCGCCGATTAATTTATGGGAATGAAAAGTAGGTGACTCCTACTAATGCGGTGTCACCGATGACGCCATGTATGGTTGCGCTCGGTGTTGCAGCACGATCGTCCTTGAAATTGCTCTTAGAACGCAGCAGCCCACCTCAGGCCGCATGTACTTCCTTCCTTTACATTGTCGGTGGACTCTTCAGTCAATCAGCGCACTCACGTCCGACGCGTTCCTCGTCCATGTATCCTGGTTTTCGTTCGTATCCGCGGCCGGTGCAACCGGTGCATCCGGACCGCCGTGCAATGTTTTACAGATTCTATGATCGCTATCGAATATTCAACGACCGTCGCGACCGCCCATTTCCCTTCAGATTTTATTGTGAGTCCTCCTCCGCAAAATATATAAAAAAAAAAAATAGAATTTATAATATCTGTTTATTTGTTTTATTATTGTCCATTTTTTTTAGCTTTATTGAAGGATAGTTCGTAATTTTTAAGAGAGCTGTTATTCGCAGGGGAAGATTTCGGTGTTCCAGTATTGACGATTCACGATGTAGACCCTTGCATTGAAGAGAATGGCGAAATTCATCGGACATCCAGATACGAGCTGATGACTCGTCAGGGTGACAGAGCGAGACTCGTGGTTCGACGTGGGCAGGAATTTTATCTGCATCTCAGATTGTCTCGAGACTATGATCCTTATATCGACGGAATTTCTATCGTCTTCACTCTGGACGGTATTGAGAGGCCGCAATACGGACATGGGACTCTGGTGGCAACCGCTCTGCTTAATCCTGGTGAAAATTCCGAAGCCGCCTGGCAGACCACCATAGCCGCCATTGAACCCAATTTTTTAAGGATAAAGGCGAGTGAAAAGCATTGCAGTGCACAGATTTTGCCAAACTTAAAGTACGTGAAAAATTTGACTAATCTTTCTCTTGCAGGTTGTGCCGTCTGTAAATGCGATCATAGGAAAGTGGAAGATGGAGATTGACACGAAGAATAAACAATCTGAAGGTGCTGTCAGTTATACGATGGACAGTCCGTTTTACTTGATTTGCAATCCATGGTGCGAAGGTAAATATTTGCAAACATCTTTCAGCGGAGTATAGCGATGATGACAGAATAAAAATCCATCAAAAATTATTTTTGATATTATCAAAAAAATAAAAAAATTCTAGATCTCAGTCGAAGTATGCTTCATACTTGGTTGAGAAATCAGATATTATCAATAACAATCCGGTATTTTTTTTTTTCTTAGACGATGTAGTGTACTTGGAGGGCGAAGCTGAGCGACAAGAGTACGTGTTGGCGGAGGACGGTCTGATCTGGCGCGGCAGTCACAATCGTTTGCGACCCACCGTATGGAAATACGCGCAATTCGAACGAGACATCCTGGACTGTGCTCTGCACCTGATGAATCAAGTTGGCAAGGTTCGCGTTTCCGGTAGAAGCGATCCTGTCATTATAACACGCTGCCTGTCCGCCGCGGTGAGTCATTCGAGAGAATTCTTTTTCGAAACCAGATCTATATTTCGAGAAAAGTATTTTCGTAGAAAAATTAAATTAATTTTGTGATCAAAATCAGAATTTTCAGGGTGCTTTTCTTTAAATCTAGCGTCGATTTCTAGGTAAATTCACCTGACGACAACGGGGCGGTGATGGGAAATTGGTCGGACGATTTTGGAGGCGGCACACCGCCCACGCGGTGGATGGGCTCGCAGAAAATTCTTCAGCAATATTACAAGACGAAGAAACCGGTGAAGTACGGACAGTGCTGGGTTTTCTCCGGCGTACTAGCGACGGTTTGTCGCACTCTCGGTATACCTTGCCGAGTGATAACCAATTATTCGAGCGCGCACGACACGCAGAGCAGTCTGACTGTCGATTATTTCGTGGATGTCGAAGGCAGAATTATGGAGGAGCTCAACAGCGATTCTATATGGTGATTGAAAGAAATTGGAAACAAAATATTTTTATAACAACGATAATAGAAATGAAGTGTCCGCGATGCGATCAATTTTAGAATAATCAGCGAATTTAAAAATTAAAATTTAAGAAATTTGTGGAATCGAATCTAAAATATCGAAATTGCTAATTTTTCTCGTAAAAAGGAACTTTCACGTCTGGAACGAAGTGTGGATGAAACGATTGGACTTGTCGCCGGATTGTTCGGGATGGCAGGTGATCGATGCGACTCCTCAGGAATTGAGCGAGGGCGCGTATCGTTGCGGACCAGCTTCCGTGGCCGCTGTGAAAAAAGGAGAAGTCCTGCGTCCTTACGATAATGCATTTCTCTTCGCCGAGGTGAACGCCGACAAGGTCTTCTGGCGTTACAACGGCCCTACGCAGCCATTGAAATTAGTTCGCAAGGATATGTACGGGTATGTGCGAAATATATTGTTCCACGAATGCTAATCGTAATGCTAATCATTAGACTGATGATGTCGAGTGATCGGGGATGATAATTTTACAGAATTGGCCAACTGATCAGCACGAAAGCGATTGGAAAATGGACGAGAGAAGATATCACGCACACTTACAAGTATCCAGAAAGTAAGTGCGTTTGGTAATAAATTGTGCAATTAAATTGCCGCTAGATAAGGAAACTTTTGATATTTATAGTAGATAATAATCTAGCACGGAAAAGTAGAATCGTGTTACTTTATCGAAGAATTATTTATTTCACCCTCTAACATATTTTTTATTAATTCTTTGAATATTAATATTGTGTGATAATTACTTTTCTCCGCAGAATCTGATGAAGAACGTGCTGCCATGCTAAAGGCGCTACGTCAGAGCGAGTCTTTATTCAGTCGTTATTATCTCAACGAGGAGTTCAATGACGTTACGTTCACTTTTGAATTGCGCGATGACATCATAATTGGGCAGCCATTTAGGTATTCAATTTATTAATTGAGTTAATACGATAACGCAATTTAAATTATACAATTTTTCAAGTTTGATTTGCTTTCTTCTGAAACTTAGTTTTAGAATCTCTCTCTGACGCTTTATTTTTTTAGACGCAATATTTATTTCTGTAAATATGTGAACTAAGAGAAATATGAACCTTTTATATTTTTCGACAGCGTTGTATTACTGATAAAAAACCGAAATCCGACGGTGGAGTATCGCGTGTCCGCAATTTTGAGAGTGGAAACTGTGCTGTACACTGGTCGGGTGGGCGATCCAGTGAAGAGATTGAACGTTGACAGACTGGTCCGACCGCTGGTGCTCGAGGAAATTCGCATGGACGTTTCATGGGAGGAATACGGTCCGAGATTGTTGGATCAATGCGCTTTCAACATCGCCTGCCTCGCCACCGTGAAGGACACGAATTTCGAGTACTTCGCGCAAGACGATTTCCGCGTTAGAAAGCCCGACATCAAAATCACGGTAATTATTGAAATATGTGGAAATTAATGCGGGAAATAAAATGAAGAGAAAGAAGCAGGTGTGCAATTGACATAAGTATATTCATATAAAAATTAAATTTCGTGATTTATAGTTGCATAGTGACGCGATCGTCGGTCAAATTCTTAACGCGTCCGCCAAGTTCCGCAATCCGCTACCAATTCCCTTGAAGAAGGGCAGATTTCTCATCGAAGGGCCTGGCCTCGACGAGCAATTGAAATTGAAGCTATCGGAGCCGGTTGAGGTAGACGAGGACGCGGAATGCGAATTCTCTATGATACCGAAGCTGGAAGGACGCGCCAGGATAGCGGCAAAGTTTTACTCGAAAGAACTCGAGGACGTCGACGGACATTCGAACAATTTTATAGTCAAATTGGCAAGAATAATCGGTAATTCTGAATAATTGCAATATTTTTAACAATATCTTAGGAAATAGCAATTTGTCGTGTCGTTTTTGTATTTTACCATGAATATTTATCCGCATTAATAATAATTTTCCAATGACGGCGACGAAAGGAGTGCAATTATTGTAAAGTTATAATTAGAAATGCTTGATGCCAAATAGATCGAAACTACAGTAAATGCAATAATGTGAGAATCCAAATTTCAAGAAAATAAAATATATGAAGAGTATAACTGAATAGAACAACCGGATCAAGTATTATTTGTGCCAAAAATTAATTTCGAATCATTAAGATACGGTGTATATATTACGTGTGAAACACGAAGTGTTCATTTATTTATGGCGACTTGAATGCGAAGAGTCAAATTATGTAATTAAAATTAATTTTATTTATTATTGCCTTGCCATATTTCACGTTATTTCCGATGCTATTCGCGTGTTCATAGAATATATATAAAAGCATAACATTTGTACACGTTATTTTGTACGTAAATCGAATAAAATAATCTGCGACATGTTTCATCATGTTCCTAGCATAATCAGTTCTAATTAATTGCAAGCTAAACCTTTCACGTCTAATAATAATCGTCTCTGAGTTAGTTGACATTCCAGTCAACGGTCCACTGTCAGAGATTGTTCGCGGATGCATTCATTTCCGTAAATTGCGAATCGCTTAACGGACGCGGATGTCATTGAAGTAACCACGGGGAACATCGTCGCGCCGCATATTTCGCGCAATCTCGACGAGAAGAGGATCCCGCCGCGTTTTCTATATTGTCCCATTTCCTGCCATCTCGTATCGGCATCGCGGGCCTGATGACGAATAGCGGACGTTTAAAGTGAACGTCGGTTACTCTCAAGGAGCGACAGCACGAATGAGGTACCGGTTCGAGCAGCGGCTTCCGCGGTGGGCACCGGTAAAAAATTCAATCGACAGAGACTACCTGGCGGTCGATATTAACGACCTGCAATCGAGAGGGTCGCCGTGGCGAGTTCGTGATTATTCAGAGAGAAAGAAGACGAAGGACAGGGGCGGATTTATATGGAAGTTAATGAAACTTGGATCGAAGTATTTGTTCCGATGCTAATGTTTTCTTTTCTTTTTATTTCGATTTTACGGCACTCGATCTTCAGACCTGAGGGGCAAAAAATTTTATGCACTTTGTAGAATAAGAAGAAAGATGACCTCTCTCACTTGTTTTTATTTCGTTATTCTGTTTTATCGGAAGCCTTGAAAAATTATTAATACCAGACACTATTCGTCCCTGAAAAGGAAGAGGAGGGAAAAGAAGGACCTTGCGCGCGCGCGCGACAGCGGGGGGGAGCAAAAAGGGAACGCGGATGATGATGAGCTTCGGGCTGATACGAGGCCAGGTTGATGCGAACGATGTATCACCATCCGGGAAATTAATGTTGAAATATGGGCCTGGTTGAACGATACGCGGCGCCCAGGCGGGACCAAGGAGAAAACGCGCGGTGGCGATGAAGAGGATTGCACGCGGGATCGGCAGCGGGGGGACGAGGTTGTTACGGGATCGATTAATGAATCGTCGGGCGAAATAGTAAGGTGGCGAGAGAATATCGGCACGGCAAATTGGACAGAGAGCTGAAGGAATGAGTGATGAAAGGGAGCAGGTCGGAAAGGAGTCGTCGCGCAAAGTAAATGTAAATGTGCGCGCGCTGAATTTTTTTATCTCAATGATCGTTGAATTGCTTCATCGAATTCTTCTCGGATGGTTGCGTCTTTATCAGATAAAACATTCGTGGAAGCGCGATAAAATTTTGCCGCGTGCATAACGTAATTAACAAAATTCTTGTGTTCTTTTTTTTTAGAATGTATAATAACATTATTTGTGATATTACACGTTGACTTTTTAAGTCACAATGTTAAATATTGTTGAAAAGGAGAGCCTTCTCGATTCTCTGACAAAAATCAATTCTCAGGATGGGAGAATACTTTTCTGCGCAAGACAAAATCCTGATTAACACGCGATAAAACGGCCGTACGACCGAAACATCAAATCGAGTAAGAGAAATCGTGAAGAAGGGCTGCGGGGGTGCAGAGAGAGAAGGAAGATAGGCAGAATGATAGTGAGATATGTCTAAATACATAACCGTGACACGTGATGGACGTGTTGCGGCCCCTGTCTACGGGGGTCTCGACGAGCGGGGGCCAGCATCCGCGGCACCCCGCTACGCGCTATGCATCAACACCCGGGATCCATCCCATTATACCTCATCAAAACAACAAACACGCCTTCCACGCTAAACCAACATCCTTTTGTTCTCATCGAAGCCCGCGTATCCATCAGGATCGCCGCGCGAAGGATGCACGTCAGTGACGCGATCTCTTCGACGGGGGGTCCGTCGGGGGTGAGAGGAGAGGGGGGGGAGAGAGGAATTCGAGGAGATCTCGTGAAATGTTATTAATGCCGCGGGGTCAGAAGGATAAGCACGCACGGGAAACGTCGTCTTGTAGATTTGTACCTGTCTTCGTCTCGTCTTGCCGCGCGCGTCCGTGTACGTGGAACGAACGACGAAAGACGTTGATTCGTGATAGAAAAACGCATGCTGCGATGTAAATAATCCGGTCGTTTCGGGAGTAAACCAGCGGCAAATAAGAGAGCTCTCCTACCGCGGGGACGAACGACGGGTTTGAGAAAATTAGACAGTGACTTCGGAATTTCACGGATGAATTATTTCGTTGGGCCAAAGGCATTCGGTCATTTTAATTTGTACAGGCAAAGAGATTTGTTTTATTCTCGGAGCAATCAGAATATAATAAGTTAAAAAGGATGTGGTATCAATTAATTCACCGTTACTCTCAAGATGTTACAACGCAATTACTCATGAGTAATTGTAATTCATATAGCGTTGCGATATGTTTATTAAATAAAAATTAACAGATGAATTAATAATCATACAAGTATAATAAATGAGTTTACGCACCGATCGATGCGTCGTTACTTGATATTTTGCTCCTTTTTGTTCCTTGCTTCTTCTTCCTGATCGTCCTTGCTCCTTCCTTCCAAACAATCGTCATTGTGAGTAGATTGATATTCTTGATCACTATACACTAGCGAATTATGCACTAATTTACTCGCGTTCTACAAAACAGTGGACTTTTCGAATAGGTTATTTAGGTTATTTAGGTTATTTCGAGGTTATCGCAAATATGTATAAAAAATCGCGTAGCTCGTGATCGCGCAGAATAATAGATGTGTTGAAACAATCGTTTGTTCAATTCGGCACTTTCGACACTTGACGTTTAGATATAAAATATATTTTTTAGCGATTAAAACACGCGAGAATCACGAAACAAACGCGAGACGCAACAGATCATAACAAACTATGAATACATATTTTTAAAGATTGATGTACGCCTTATAAAAATAATACTATAAAAATAATTGGCGGACTTGGTGGCACTATTTTTCTAGGGTCCTAGTCATGTGATCATTTCACGGAGCGTCATATCGCAGCTATATTCATTCGTCCGCGGAACATTATGGAGGTTGAAACACAAGCCGCATCCTGCATTTCGCGCGTGTTTTTTTTCGTTCGAAGTAAGTCCTGTGCGCAAAGAAGTATCGTGAGTATTGAATCAAGCATGAACTATCATGGAAGTTACTTAGTGCGTACGATTGTGATTATCAATTTTTCAAACGTCAAACATCGCTCGCTAAATATTCGAGCATCGGCACGACTCGTTTTCATCTTTCGAATTTTAAAGCGTTCATTAAGTGACAATAATGCCTTCACGTTAGAAGATAACTATTTCGAAGTTTCTGTTGGAAATAAAATTTGTAATAATTTATCTTTTTTTATTCCACAATATATGGAAAACATTAGGAACAAGCCCGGTAATGATTTATTTAATCGATCAAGGAGGTAATGCCATCTATTGTTTAAGCTATTATTTAACGAGTTGCTCATGTGATATATTTGTTAGATAATTTTTGCGCCATCTTTGCTCTTATTATATGAATTAATTGCCCATTGATTTTGCGGGTTAGTTTTGTATAACACATCACATCTAGATTTTTTCATGCATCATGACTTCGACTCGAAGTAACTATCTTCAAGCGGAAAGACATTTTGTAAACGCTATGTATATCTCGACAGTGAGAAAATTATGGACAATCATCGTTTTTCGCATTATTTATTCACTTGAAATTGTTCGTATAATCGCGTGTCGAAAGTGTCGAATACATTGTTGGTCAACATAATAAGAAGAGGAAAGCAGTTATGATTTCCGCGGCAATTGTTGACAATGCTTCTTTCTTCTATCGAACACTGGGAAATTTTTAATGCGCAAAAGTATTTCGTGCTTATAACAATCGGGATTAATTCGGAATTATCATATTTTGCATTAAAAGTATTTATGTTCGCGCTCGTAAAATGTAAGTGTGTGTTTTTAAATAGTGCCAAATCAACAGATTGCAACGACGAGACAATAGTTGGTAAACAAATTTTATTATTATATTATGTAATTAATTATCTGTTAATTGTTATAGTTTTTATATTTTTAGAATTTCTATATTTTTTATAATAATCTTTGATCTATTTCTCAAGAATTAAAAAGTAACAAAAATATTTTTTATTTGTTGCATAATGTATTAAATTTGATATTTTTATGCAAAAGAAGATTCAACATATTAAAATAGAGAAATTAAATTTTCATGAAAATGATATTTTGTTATTAATCATTAGAAAAACAGATTTTATGTATAATTATTTTGCATACAATTTTTATTCATTATTATTATAAAATTATCAATTTTCTTACAAATTATCAAATCGATTTTTAATACACATTTAATCATAGCATGATTTACTGAAATTCTTTACAAATTTTCTGTTTTTTTTTTACAAGGTGACTGTTGCTGTGTTTGTCCATTTCTTCAGCTGTATTCAACAATGGTGAGTCTTATCTTCTTATGATATTTGTGTTGTTTCCTATTATTAGTATTTATCTATAGCGCATTTATCAGGGAATAATTAAATATTTATTAGGTATGTGTCAATTATATTTCATCTTGATGCTCACGACATTGTAGTTTGGTAGACCAAATACTTAGATGGCAGCACATAATACTTACAGAAAAGAATATGTATAATTTTTTTTTAAAAGAATGTATATAATTTAATGTTTAAAAATTCAATTCAAATAGTAGCCGTTAAAAATAAAATTATCAAATTAATTTCAAGCTACTATCTAAAAAGCTGATTGTAATGAAAAGTATATATAACACCAGCATATTCAAAACTTTTAAAATAAATTCAATGTTTTTTCCGATATTATTTTGGAACAAAGTAATAGTTGAAACTTTTAGTCTGAGTTGCAAAATTAATTTTTTATTTTGAAAACAAATATTCACAATTTTTCACTAGTTTTCTCACGTTGTGTTCTCTCGAGTTTTCGCACGCTTTCTCAAGTCTTTAGTAAATAAGAGAAAAAAGCTTCCAAAAGTATCCAAGCAGAGTCGATCGATCAACGACAAAGCTCGGTTGTAACGAGACCGGCTGACAGTTTATT